TAGATAGATAGATAGATAGATAGATAGATAGATAGATAGATAGATAGATAGATAGATAGAAATGGGATAACTTCATAGTCATAAAGAAGCATTTTCTTTCAAGTAAACCATGTACAACAGCATTTTACATAAGTTATCCATAATCCTGATCCAATAGAGCCAATCCAGTAGATACCCTCAGTCTTGCCCCAACCCTTAAAGGTTTTGTCATGAAGCCTGGATCCCTGATGGAATGGATGAGCCTGTTTCTTATGATAACACAGGACGAGCCTGTGTTAACTATGATGATTATTAGTGTTTTTGTTGTGGGATGTTATTCTTGGTTGTGTTATTTGTTATTTATAATTTTACTATGTTTTAATTTATAATTATAAATGTGTTGTGTAATTTAATTTGGGTTTTTAATTGTTAGCCATCCAAAGCCATAACTTAAGATAGACAGTCATAGAAATTTAATAAACTATCTCCTTTTCTTAGCCAGGTTTCAAAGAGACTGCTATGCATAACAATATTTTCATTTATATATACGCATCATATATTTATATCTCTACATATGAAATAGATATAGGTATAGAGGTAGAGATATGGAGGCATCCAATTTCAAATTTTCCAGAGTACTGAACTTTGGGAGGTATTAATTTAGCCAAGCAACACTAAGTGGATGCCACAAAGAAGACGGGGTCAACCTATTCTCCAAAGCATCCAAAGAACAAGAAGCAATGGATGGAAACTAATCAAGGACAGAACCAACCTAGAAATAAAGAGAAATTTCCTGACAGTTAGAAGAATTAATCAGTGGAACAGCCTGCCTTCAGAAGTTGTGGGTAATCCATCACTGGAAGTTTTTAAGAAGAGATTGGACAACTATTTGTCTGAGATAATGTAGGTCTCTTGCTTGAGCAGGGGGTTCAACTAGAAGACCTACAAGGTCCCTCCCAACTCTGATATTCTATTAAAAATATTTCTAAAGAGTGAAATCTATACATACAGGTAGTCCTTGACTTACAGCTGTTCATTTAGTGATCATTTGAAGTTACAATACCATTGAAAAAAGTTATCTGTTTTTCTTGCAGCATCCCCGTGGACACATGATCAAAATTTGAATGCTTGGCAACTGATCTGTATGATGGTTGCAGTGTCCCACAGTCATGTGATCATCTTTTAACTTCTGACAATCAATGGGGAAGCCAGATTCACTTAGTAACCATATTACTAATTTAACAATCACAATGATTCACTTAACTGTGAGAAGATTGTAAAGTGGGGCAAAACTCACTTAACTGAATAGCACGTAACTGATTAACTTGATTAGCAACCCAAATTTTGGGCTAAATTGTGGTCGCAAGTCCAGGATTACCTGTATACTGCACATAGTCCTGACTTTTAGAGAACAATTTTGATGCATTGTTACTGCAAAATCCAAACACCTGGCGAATTGCTGTTTAAAAACCAGATTCTTCAGATTGCAACCAATCAGAATGACTTCTATTTTGTCACCAAAGCTCTTCATCCTGATCTGTTTCACAAATCATAACCATGCCCAATATTGTGCAGTATTGAATCAGCAATAACATTTTATTTAAATAAAAGCACTGCAATCAATAGAATCTACTTATGAGAATATGTAAGATGTTCACACTATAAGTGAATTACCAGTAAGGATGTTATTTTTATATAAAAACCCTAATATTCTAAAGTTCTATATTTCTTACTATAACTTTAGTTGATATCTGGTATTAATCAATCTTATACTCCACATTGACTTATTGGAAGCCTGCACAAGCTTTTAACCTGTTTGCAACTATATATACATGTTCAAGATTTTTGGATTGCAGGTGATTTACAATTCTTAGAGTCACTTCAAGCAATGACTATGGTTTACATTTCTGTGGTCAGACATCAGATCTTTAGAGATGGCAATTAGTTGGATTATCCAAAGGTTGTGGAAGAGTGAGTGTTACTGTAATCACTAGAGCTGTGCAAAAAACAAGATAGATAGCACACGTCAGTGTCCATTCCTAAACATCAACACCAAAATAATTATGTCATAATGCAAACTTAACCCTTTCTCCTGTGTTGTGGTAATATCTCATAGGTTATATTATTCATGGCCCAGAAAAAAAAATTATAAAAATTTCATTCCGAAATATCAAAATATGTTTTCCCATGTAAACTGATTTGTCAACGGACCAGGAAAAAAAAAATCTTAAGTTTTGTGTTCAAAAGCAACAACTTGTAACAAACTTGATTTGCATTTTTTAAACTTAGACTTAAACTTAGAATAATTTTGTCATTTTGAATGTACACTAATTGGCATACATTAAAATGAAATTTCATGCATACAGCTCTCAAAGCGTCTCCACCTCTACATGAACTACATGAACATGACAATACATACATACATAGAAAATTATGCATATACCCACATATATTAGAGAAACAATATAGTCTAGTTTGGATGTATACATGTACACGAGGAGACAAACAACAGTCAAAGAAGCTTCTGACAATTTTTAAAGTGTTTAAACATTGGTGCAGAGGATCAGCTCTCCTTCAGTCCTCTGCCATTGTACATACATGACACAAGCAATCCCAGGTTAAGTACCGCTTACCAAGCTATCGCCGCTATAATGCAGAAAGATGATTTATAGAATTATGTTGTCATTACACGCCAAGCTTAAATAAAAGGAGCCACCCACAAGGAGGGTGGGGGGAATGGAATTTTTCACGTTTCAGGCAAGGCACTTTCATTAAATGAGTGGGTGGGAATGGCCGGAAGCAGTTTTCCAAGGGGCTTCCCTAAAAGCTACCGAGGGGACCTCTATGGGAAGCAAGGCACTGAACGGTCGCCTCCCAAATTCGTCCTATCCCTCTCGCTGTCGTCGCAGAGCAGGACACGGGGTGTGCAAAGGCGCTCCACAAGAGTAGGGGAGACAGCAGCCACTTCCCTCCTTTCTAGCTTCCCTCCCCATTCCCACTCACCAGTAAGTCGGTATTGCCGCCCAAACGCAGCTGGGGCTTGTGCTTCTTCACCAGGTTCTTCAGAGTGCTTCGTGGCACGGTGCGCTTCATGGCAGCGGTGCCGTAACCTTTCCTCGGGACTAATGTCGGAGTCAGCGAATTTCCGGAGAACGGCTCACCCCAAAAAACATTCCCCGAACGAATCGAACGCGCTTGCGCCGTAGAAGTTCAAATCTGCCGCCGTGCGCCATTACATCACAGGAGCGGCTGATGCATCAACCCGCCTACTTTCTCCTTGGAGCGATTGGTGGAAGGGAGTGCCATTCAGAGGGATTATTAAGAGGAGCTGCTGAATGAATGCGCCCTGCCGGTTACTTCATTAATATCCTGCGCGGCGTATCGTTGCTTCCCGCTTTCAACTGCATGCATAAATGAAGACGGTCTTTTTGTACAAACGGACTTATTTAAACTCAGTAGGGCTTCGACTGCCCGTGATTGTGTCTTAAAGGGATTTATTTTAAAAGTTGTAAATGTACGTGCAGATTTCTGCTTAGGGTTAAAGAGTTGTAAGGGGATCTTGCTCGTGAAGGATTAAGCCATGGTCTGAAAGGCTTCTAAGGAATGCCCTCAACTCTTGTGATCACAAATGGGACTTTCTTCCAACTGAACAACTTTGGCTTTGGGGGAGTCATCAAATGAAGATTCTTGTTTTTAACTTTTTAACGAATTTTATTAATGAAATATAATAAAGAGTGAATATATCAGTAATATATGAAAATAAACCAAAACATAGCATAAGAGAAGAAACATAAGATACATATGATACCAATGTAAAACTTATTCAACTCAAGCTTATTATTAAATCTAGACCACAAAAGAACAGATTGTTTCACCTTCCCATTTTTAGAATATGATATTTTAAAAATTAATCAACACATATCAATCCATTATAGTTGTGTCCTCACTTTCACAAACAGTTCTCATAGGCGGGCTCAAAATTGCAATTATTTACCTGGGAATCAATGGCTCAAGGGACACAGTGGTTCAGTGGTTAAGACACTGAGCTTGTCGATCAGAAAGGTTGGTAGTTCAGCGATTCGAATCCCTAGCGCTGCATAATGAAGTGAGCTCCCGTTACTTGTCCCAGCTTCTGCCAACCTAGCAGTTCAAAAGCATGTAAAAATGCAAGTAGAAAAATAGGGACCGCTTTGGTGGGAAGGTAGCAGCATTCCATGAGCCTTCAGCATTTAGTCATGTCAGCCACATGACCACATCTTCGGACAGCACTGGTTCTTTGGCTTTGTAATGGAGATGAGCACTGCCCCCTACAAGCTGGAAATGACTAGCACGAGGTGAACCTTTACCTGGGAATATTTATTCATTCATTCACTAAATTTTGCTATAGCCACCTAATTCCAAAGTAGAGCACAGAAGAGAGAAAGCTAGGTGAGAGAGGATTGAGTTTCCCAATGCTCTTCACAATCTCTCCACCATATATATGATCTGTCAGCTAGGTGAAATGTGTCTGGAGACAAATGTAGCACTCTTCGAGAATAGCACTATACATACTGTATGTACAAAATTAATTTGGGTGACAGAGCAAGAGCATCTCCATGATAGTGACCTGTTCCATGGGCAACCTGAAAAATGGCTAAGTCCTGCTTCTTGGGAACCTGCCTACAATTGCTCAACACCGTTTTACCGTAACCCCACCGTAAAGAAAGATTAATTCCAAAGACCAGGAAGAAGAACCAGCTACCATATTGAATAAGTCTCTCCAAAAGTTCTGAAGTACGGGTGTACATCTTGCAGGTGGCCTTCTCTTGGGCTTCCTAGGCCCAAACTTTAAGCAATAGCTTATATCATACTTATAAACAAATTGGATACTTATGTTAATTCATAAGGCACATGCTAGAGACTTTAAAACAACCTGATTCAGCTCATACAAGAAATCCAGCTGCAGTATATCCATAGATAGCTGTCCAGCTTCTCATTAAACACCTTTTATTAAACCCTAACATGCACTCTTGTGCTAAGAGCCTTGTCTTTTTGTCCTACAAAGGATCAAGCATCACTTTTCATATTAAAATTAAAATTGAAGGTGTTGTCTTAGCAGTGTTTCTATGTTTGTTTTCTATGTTTGTTTTCAATACCATCATTCCAGACACACTTCTATGTAAATTAAACCAAACAGTGGTACCTGAACACACTTGTAAGTGGATCATAAGCTTCCTAACAGACAGGAAGCAGTAGGTGAAGCTAGGCAGAATTACATCCGATACCTGTACAATCAGCACACACACCCCACCCAAGGCTGTGTGCTATCTCCACTTCTCTTCTCCCTATATATCAATGACTGCATCTCAAACGATCCATCTGTTAAAATACTGAAGTTTGCTGATGACACAACAGTGATTGGTCTCATTTGAGACAATGATGAATCTGCATACAGACAGGAGGTTATACAACTTGCCTCATGGTGTAACCGAGACAATCTGGAACTGAACACACTCAAAACCATAAATGGTGGTAGACTTTAGAAGAAACCCTCCAATACTACCACCTCTTACAATACTAGACAACACAGTATCAACAGTAGAGCCCTTCAAATTTCTAGGTTCTATCATATCACAAGACTTAAAATGGACACCTAACATCAAACACATTATCAAAAAAGCACAACAAAGAATGTTCTTTCTGCACCAACTCAGAAAGCTCAAACTGCCCAAGGACCTGCTGATACAGTTCTACAGAGACATTATTGAGTCTATCATCTGCACCTCTATAACTGTCTGGTTTGGTTCTGCAACCCAACAGGACAGACGCAGACTTCAGAGGATAATTAGGACTGCAGAAAAAACAATTACTACCCACCTGCCTTCAATCGAGGACCTGTATACTGCACAAGTCAAAAAGAGGGCTGTGAAAATATTTACAGACCCCTCACATCCCAGACACAAACTGTTTCAACTCCTTCCCTCAAAATGATGCTATAGAGCACTGCACACCAGAACAACTAGACACAAGAACAGTTTTTTCCAGAAAGCCATCACTCTGCTAAACAAATAATTCCCTCAACACTGTTCAACTATTTACAACATACGCACTACTATTACTGTTAATCTTCTCATCACTCCTTATCACCCATCCCCTCCCACTTGTGATTGTAGGACTGTAGCTTTGTTGCTTGTATCCTTACGATTCATATTGACTGTTTCCTAGTATGATTTGATTGTTGATTGTACCCTATGACTATCGTTAAGTGTTGTACGTTATGATTCTTGATTCTTAGCGAATGTATCTTTTCTTTATGTACACTGAGAGTATTTACAGCAAGACAAATTCCTTGTGTGTCCAATCACACTTGGCCAATAAAAGTATTCTATGCTATTAGTAGCATTTCTATATATTTTTTTTCCTAGATTTAATGTGTAACTATAAAAAACCTCTATAATCTTTCAGCTAGGATAGTCAAAGCTTATTATCTAATTCTGCAATGTGTATAATGATACATTGCAAGTTTATTGCCTCTGGATACTACATTACTAATGTAAATTAATGTTTACATATATAAAGTTCAGCATATTATAGAAAAATTAGCATTGAAAATGAAGCAAATATTTTGTATATGTGATATTCAAGTAAAAATTACTGGTGTTTATCCAAGCATTAGTAATTAGTACAAATTTTGAAACATGTTTTTCCAGCACTGTTCAAACAGAATAATCTAACAAATACCACTCCATAAAGTTATAGATGATCAGTTTGATTAATTAAGTTTCATAATTACATGATGAATGATTCTTTTCTATTGTTTCATACTGTGAAACCTAGCTTCCTAATAAACAATTATTGGCCATTTACAAGAAACCAAGCTGCACTAAGAAACCCCAATGCACAAAACGCAATGTTGCCAACTAATCAAGAACACAGCAACTTGAAGACCAATAAAAACAGACCTAGACTCCCAGCCAATCAGGATGAGGAAAAAACCATTCAAATAAAGCAGAAAGCCAGCACCAATTTTTTTTGAAAAATGGCTGCCAAGCCTGATGCACACGATTAAAAAGAACCCAGTACACAAGCCTGAGGATGGCAGATGAGATTCTGCCGAAATGTCACTATAATAAAAGCACAAATATTAAGACATGGGAAAATACCCGAAGAAACCTAAATACCATACATATAAATACCCACGAAAACATAAGAAAACATTATATATATGTCCAAGAGGTGGTATGAGTTTTGTAAATGGAAATGATCTTGGAAATGATCAAAGATCTACACGTGGAACAAAAAGATCTGCTTGTAAGTTTCGATGTGGTTTCACTATTCACTCAAGTCCCGATAAAAGAAACTCTCAAAATCATCAAAAATAAATACCAACGACCCAAACACCTCATGGAACTAGCAGAACACTGCTTAACCAACACATATTTCATATACAAAGGACAAAGATACAAGCAAATTGAAGGAGCCCCTATGAGATCACCACTGTCACCCGTCATTGCAAACCTGTTCATGGAAGAATTCAAATCCTGAGCCCTAGCCAATGCCACCCACAAACCCAAACTCTGGTTAAGATACATCGATGACACATTTGTGATTTGGCCCCATGGAAAAGAAAACCTAAACAATTTCCTAATATACCTAAGCAGCACACATCCCAAAATCAAATTCACCATGGAAATGGAAACAAACAAACAACTACCATTCCTAGATGTACTAATCTACAAAAAAACAGATGGCACACTAGGACACACCATATACCAGAAGAAAACACACACCAACTGCTACCTCAATGCCCAATCCCACCAGCATCCAGCACAGATAAACTCCATGGCCAAAACACTAATTGTCAGAACCAAACGCCTGGCAGACAAGACACATATAAAGACTGAAATATGCACCCTAACTAAAGTACTGACAGCCAATGGCTTCCACAAAAGCAAAATCACTGGCTTGATCCACAAAAACACACTGAGACATAATGGAGATCTAGAAGATGAACAGACCTATGGAACTGCTGTCCTGCCCTACATAAGAGGTACTACAGACAAAATCAGTAAGATACTACACAGGCATCACATCAAGACTGCCTTCAAAACAGACAGAAAAATAGCAGCCATGAAACCCCAAAGATGAAATTGACCTGGAAAACCAAGGCATATACTAAGTCCCCTGTGTATCATGTCCTGCCACATACA